CTCCGCTGGCTGGCTGTGCTTCCTAGTAAAGTGGATGACCTCGCACTTGCTCGGGTCGAAGGAGACCTTGTTCTCCGAGCCCCATCTGAGAATGCCGGCTGCGCTTCGGTTGAGTATTGCGACGTTGCTCTCCAGGGAGGGGCTGATGGCCAGAGTGGCGATGTCGTCCGCGTACCCGAATCGCGCGTCCGGGTCGTCTTCAAGGATCTCCGCGATGTAGAGCAGAAAGACGATGGGAGATAGTGGCGACCCCTGAGGCAGCCCGCATGACAGAGGAAAGTATTCCGTCGTGCTTTCTTCCAGTCGGACTCTGGCGATGCGGTTGCAGCAGAAGCTGAAGATGAGTCTAATCAAGCCGTGTGGCCATCCCTGCTGACGCAGTCTAATGACGAGCCGGTTCCGAAGGACGGAGTCGAACGCCCCTTTTACGTCCATAGTCAGAAGCGTCGCCGTGAGCCCTTTTAGGAGGGCCGTTTCGATATCGTGGGCGAGGCAGGTCGTCAGATCGACGGCTGACCTGCCTTGTAGAGCTCCGATCTGTTGCGGACTGACGATGCGCTCGACAATCGCCAGAGAAGCCATCCTTCTGGCTATTAGTCTCTCGAGTCCTTTGCCCAAGCACGAGAGGAGCGCGATCGGCCGCCAGGACCCGGGCTTGGAGGCATCCCTGCCGGCCTTCTGGATCATGACCACCTCAGCTCTGCGGAAAGGCAGAGGAAAGTGGCCGGCCCGCATACAGGACTGGAATAGCTGCCTGACCGGCTCCGAGATGACGCCCCAGCAGGCCTGGAGGAGGCGCGTGGTGATCCCGTCCACACCAGGGGTCGTTGTCTTTGTTAAGGTGGCCGTCTTCACTTCTTCTCCGCTAACATTGTCCTGCCAAGTAATCGCTCGCCTTGGGACGACGGGTACGTCAAACGGATTACCCGGTGCGTCATCTTCCGCACTAAACCTGTCGAGAAGGGCTTCCCGAAGCGCTTGGGCCTTTTCGTCAGTATCCTCGATCGTCTGGTTGTCCACAACCAATGGGGGTGCTCTGGTCAGTGGGCTCGCCTTCCGCCAACCCATGATCTGGTACAGGTCCCGGTCTGAAGCGACTCCATCGATCTTTCCGGCCCAGTATGCTCGCTTAGCCTTCCTCACCGTGCTCAGGAACGCCTTTCGTTTCTCCATTAGATAAAGGTGCGCATCTTGCTCCGTCTCCCAGGCTTGTTGGTTGCGGGCAGCACGGTATGCTCTGTGGGCCTCTGCGCATTCCTCCGTCCACCAAGCCGCGCCTTTACCATGTTTTCCTCTCTTCTTGCCGACCGCCTCAATGGCTCGGGAGAAGAGCTCGACGATGTGACTTGCCTGCCCGTCCAGGTCTTCCGGAGTAGGTTGATCCCCCAGATTGGGCATCGCAGCTAGCCCCCCTTCGATCAGGTCTCTCAGCCGAGGCAGCGCCGAGTCGGGCACTGACAGTGGCCGTGGCTGCGGGTGGCCCTCTCCCTGTGACACTGGGCGTTTGAATAGTGGTATGACGGCCACGATGGCCTCTGGTCAGCTCCGGGTTGGGGGTGGCGCCCAGGATTGCGGACATGTCCTGGACCTGGCTTTCTCTAATATCCCTTTTGCGCACGCGCAGGTCAGCCCACAGCTACACCCGGGAGCTGACCACGAGGCCATCGTGGCCGTCATACCACTATTCAAACGCCCAGTGTCACAGGGAGAGGGCCACCCGCAGCCACGGCCACTGTCAGTGCCCGACTCGGCGCTGCCTCGGCTGAGAGACCTGATCGAAGGGGGGCTAGCTGCGATGCCCAATCTGGGGGATCAACCTACTCCGGAAGACCTGGACGGGCAGGCAAGTCACATCGTCGAGCTCTTCTCCCGAGCCATTGAGGCGGTCGGCAAGAAGAGAGGAAAACATGGTAAAGGCGCGGCTTGGTGGACGGAGGAATGCGCAGAGGCCCACAGAGCATACCGTGCTGCCCGCAACCAACAAGCCTGGGAGACGGAGCAAGATGCGCACCTTTATCTAATGGAGAAACGAAAGGCGTTCCTGAGCACGGTGAGGAAGGCTAAGCGAGCATACTGGGCCGGAAAGATCGATGGAGTCGCTTCAGACCGGGACCTGTACCAGATCATGGGTTGGCGGAAGGCGAGCCCACTGACCAGAGCACCCCCATTGGTTGTGGACAACCAGACGATCGAGGATACTGACGAAAAGGCCCAAGCGCTTCGGGAAGCCCTTCTCGACAGGTTTAGTGCGGAAGATGACGCACCGGGTAATCCGTTTGACGTACCCGTCGTCCCAAGGCGAGCGATTACTTGGCAGGACAATGTTAGCGGAGAAGAAGTGAAGACGGCCACCTTAACAAAGACAACGACCCCTGGTGTGGACGGGATCACCACGCGCCTCCTCCAGGCCTGCTGGGGCGTCATCTCGGAGCCGGTCAGGCAGCTATTCCAGTCCTGTATGCGGGCCGGCCACTTTCCTCTGCCTTTCCGCAGAGCTGAGGTGGTCATGATCCAGAAGGCCGGCAGGGATGCCTCCAAGCCCGGGTCCTGGCGGCCGATCGCGCTCCTCTCGTGCTTGGGCAAAGGACTCGAGAGACTAATAGCCAGAAGGATGGCTTCTCTGGCGATTGTCGAGCGCATCGTCAGTCCGCAACAGATCGGAGCTCTACAAGGCAGGTCAGCCGTCGATCTGACGACCTGCCTCGCCCACGATATCGAAACGGCCCTCCTAAAAGGGCTCACGGCGACGCTTCTGACTATGGACGTAAAAGGGGCGTTCGACTCCGTCCTTCGGAACCGGCTCGTCATTAGACTGCGTCAGCAGGGATGGCCACACGGCTTGATTAGACTCATCTTCAGCTTCTGCTGCAACCGCATCGCCAGAGTCCGACTGGAAGAAAGCACGACGGAATACTTTCCTCTGTCATGCGGGCTGCCTCAGGGGTCGCCACTATCTCCCATCGTCTTTCTGCTCTACATCGCGGAGATCCTTGAAGACGACCCGGACGCGCGATTCGGGTACGCGGACGACATCGCCACTCTGGCCATCAGCCCCTCCCTGGAGAGCAACGTCGCAATACTCAACCGAAGCGCAGCCGGCATTCTCAGATGGGGCTCGGAGAACAAGGTCTCCTTCGACCCGAGCAAGTGCGAGGTCATCCACTTTACTAGGAAGCACAGCCAGCCAGCGGAGCTGCCAGAGGTCAGGGCGGGGGATTTGGTGGTCAAGGCCTCGACAAATCCTGTACGCTGGCTGGGTGTCTGGTTCGACAAGAGACTGTCCTTCCGGCACCACGTCGACACAAGAGTAGCTGCGGCAAAGAAGGCAGCTCAACACCTGAGGCAGCTTACAAACACAAAGAGAGGACTGCCAGCGGCCGCCGTGCGAAAAGCCGTCGTCTCCTACGTACTGCCGATCGCGCTCTTCGGCGCCGAAACATGGTACGCAGGTATCACGAAGCCGGCTTCGAGACGCCAAGCGGAGACAGACACGAGTCCGCCTTTCCAAGGAAGACCCGTCAACACAGGCCAGAAGGGGCTCGTGCAGAAGATCGACAGCGTCATTACAGCGGCAGCAAGGATCGTTCTACCTGTCTGGAGGACAACGCCAACCAGTAGCCTCCTCCGAGACGCCGGCTTACCGTCAGCCAAAGTCGCCTTAGAAGGCGTCCGTTTACGGGCCGCAGTCCGACTACAGAGGATTGATCGCCGACACCCGCTAGTCGCGCGGCTCTCCCAGCAGGGACAGCAACAGACGAGACTACAACGGACGGCTGAACTTCTGCCAAGATGCGGAAGACCAACGTTCCTCCAATCACAGTACCTGCCAAGCTCACAGGATCAGATAGTAGTTCAATGCAAAGAAGAGGCTGCGAAAGCTTTCGAGCGCTGGCTAAAGACAGTACCGGAAAGCCATATGATCGTCTTCTCGGACGGCTCCAGGGCGACGAACGGAGCCGTGGGGTACGGCTTCGTCATCTACCGAGACTCCAAACGCATAGCGCAAGGGTGCGGCCGACTCGGACTAGCAGAAGTGTTCGACGCCGAGGTCGAAGGGGCGCGAACCGGCCTCAGAAGGGCTCTGCTCACCAATCGCGGTCATCCAATCCACATATGTATCGACAACACCAGCGTTATACAAGGCATCCGCGGCAAGGCGCCGGACTCGTCACAAGACGCGTTCCTCGAAATCCAAGAAGCGGCCAGGATATTTGATATACGGACGCACTGGTCCCCGGGACACCAGGGCATCGAAGGAAACGAGGCCGCGGACCGGCTGGCCAAAGAAGGAACGACACTGCCGGCGCGGATGGGTCAAATGGCAACACTAGCGGGCATCAAGCGGCTTGCAAGGGAAAAATTACAAAGCCAGCACAGGAGATGGTGGTATAAAGAGCGAAGGCCGCGGTACGCGGACTTGGGGCTTGAGGCAGCTCTGTCCAGCCCTCCTGAACTGGCCTTGCCGCGGGCTACGTTACATCACCTGCTGGCGGCACGATCGGGTCACGGGGACTTCGAGCAATATCACCGACGTTTCAACCACGACGACGCTCTAATGATGTGCTCTTGTGGAGAGGCGAAAGACGTGGACCACCTGGTCTACTGTCGACTAACGCTGGCGAGGAGGCAACGGTGGCCGACCCTCCACTCTCGCAGTATGCCCGAGCCCATAGGTCCTATGGGATCTCTCGAGGCCTACTTCAAGAGATTAATCACCGACCCACGAGGCTTCGAGGCCTTTCTCCGCGTGACGGACTTCTTCCAGAAGATCTGTCTGCGGTAGCAGCATCCACACCTAGGTAGATGTGAGTGCGGACTACAAAGAACCTCCCGATTCCAAGGGACGATTTGGGAAAGAATGAAACTGGGGCACCAGCGGGAACCGGGGACAGACAGAACGCGTAGTGGCCACAAGGCATGATTTGGAGGACGATGTAAAGAGACGACGTACTGTAGAGTAGGTAGCCTTGGCTCACGGCCCTCCACGCCATATACCCTTCGGGAGGTCTGCGGTAAGGGCTCTAGCCCGGCCGCCACGGCGTTAAATACAACAACAACAACAACAACAATAGTTTTGTTGTTCCTGGGTGTACTCTATCTCAATTCCCTGGTATTGCTGGATCTTCGTCGATGCGGATAGCTGTTGACATGTCGCGGATAGAGACTCAACGCATATTGCCAACCCTAAAAACACGCATAGCGTCAATAGCCTTAGTAAATCAACGTTCATGACGGGCAGGATGACAAGAGTTGAAGATCAGTGACGCGAAAGTATTGCGAGTGTAGACTTGAGGGGGCAGGAGAGGACTATTTCATGTATATATACTAGACACGTAGCAAGCGAAGCTAAGTTCAGATGGGTCTTCTTCTGCATGTACCAATCAATTTTCCTAAGATACTGTTTTCTTACTTAAACACCTTCCGTAAATGTAGAAATTGGGGCACCATGATGCTGCTCCAGAGCGGTCGCATAAGTGCTGACAATCACACACCTTCTTATCCAGCCACATCGACTACACTAGGAAATCGCATCGGCAGGCTGCTAGGTACAATGATGCTAGTGATTGTTCAAAAGCTCAGATTTCGGTATTTTCGGCTGTGACTTTTCGCATACTCGTGCTTTTCGGGAATGCACACGATCTCGCGATGAAAAGCCAAATGTTGAGGGTACATTGTTGTACTAATGTTTCAGCTCTTCATGAAAGCTGACCCTAAGCGAGTGGCCTTCCGCTCAGACTATTGGAAGGTCTGGGTAGCTGATAGGAGCAGTTCTTACTTTTGTCTTCGCTGGCAACATCGATGATTCGTCATTGTCTGGTGTCGTGGTTTTTGTCTCCATTCACTGCAAAGTACAAAAGCTTCCTTTGCCCTCCCGCAGGAAGACCTGTGGTCTTCAAGAAGATGATAGGACGCCGATGCATTGGTGGCTACCTTGGGCATCAAGAATCAATAGACATCAATAGACGCGGGGGGAGTGTTGCAATGCAGGATGTCCGAAGCCACCTACCTACCCTGCCTGTGGATCCGCTGGTGGTGTGTTGCGTGACTGTGTGACATGGCCTAATGCTTCGATTGTTGAGCTATTCACCGCTGTACATGCGAAAGTCGGAGTCGCGGATTAGCGAGAGTACCTTGCAGGTCCAGCTGCATATTCCAAATCGCAAAGGATGCTACAAACTCATTCATGTAAGATACCTCGATATAAGATGTCGTGTTCCTTGAGGACATGGAGTTACATCTACCTCCCCTTTCAGCGAGCTGACCACACGTAATAGTAGCGATGCCCTTCTCGGTATAGTTGCCTGACAAAATCTTTGGCTACGTTGATTTACTGATGTGTTTCTCCGCTTACTGTTGCAGGTGCATGGAGCAGCACAGGCATAATCGACGACAGGGTATATGTAACGCCAGCCAATGTCAGATGCACAGTAATTTCGTTGGTCATAGTACTAGTCCTGTGTTTGAGCTTCCAACCACATCAGGCGACTTTGCTAGCACACCAATTGATAGCCCGATGATACCCCGGTTGGACCTATTCGGCACGATTCTGGGTATATTGGCCATATTGACCTACTAATTCATTCTCCGTGAAGTGCACGTTACGATGAATAAGTGGCTAATTGTCAATCTTAATGAATGCATGGCTTTGCGAAACATTGCCAACTACGAAGCCCATGCTCGAGTTAGAAGGAGTAGTATCGTCGTATCCAACCGGCGGCCGATTCCTCAGCTGTGAAATGTTCTATACTCTATTGACTCGGTGAGGCGACGTCTCTTTGCCTTAGCCAGAGATTGCATCAGATGAGACCCCTTTCCCACGATCTTCTCCGCAAATTACAAGCAGATGATTATGTCATGAAGATTTTTGGACTATGGGTTTCAATCATTACAAATGAAGGGAGGGTATCTGTTGCGGAAGTTCGGTTTACCCACCCGCTGAAAGTCGAGATCCTCTGAGAACCTTCGTATGGAGATCCACTCCGATGCAAAGGCGACCACCAGAGACAGGGTTGAGGAATGAAGCGAAGCCATATGATATGGAACCAAGTTGAATTAATAAAACGGATGATCGGACTCACAGCACTTGGTGGGCCTCTCTCCTTCCTGAGTCTCGCAACACTTCTATCTCATTTGCATTGTCACCTTGTTGAGAGTACATACTCGGAACAAAAATGTCAGCTTACGTTGTCAAGGGCAAGTTCGCCGTCGTCACAGGCGCTGGTTCTGGTAGGTCAACAATACCCTGTCCCAAACCTCAAAAAATGAGAATTTTGCGCAACAAATCTGACGTATATTGAGCTAGGTATTAACCTTGCATTCGTTGAACTCCTCTTACAGTCGGGACGCTCAGTTATCCTTGGTGACATTGGGTTGAGGCCTGAAGCTGAAGCAACCATCGCCAGATATTCCAAGGGCTCTGCTGGTACCCACGGCGTCTATGCTATCTTCCACAAGACAGATGTTTCCGACTGGAACCAAATCAGCTCACTGTGAGCGACCGCACTCGAAACCTTTCCACAGGTCCACATCATCTGCAATGGCGTGGGCCTCTATGAGCCTCCATCAAGCTGTTTCTGGAACGCCCCTGGGGGTTTCTCCTCTTGAACAAGATCCTGTTGACTCCAAAGCTGGCCAGTACAAGACTTTCGCGGTGAACACCATTGGACCGATTCGGTTGGCTCAAATCGCCATTGATTACTGGCTTCAAGACCGCAATATCAAAGGCAACCTCCTTTGGATTGCAAGTCTGGGTGGTTACGTGCACTCAATGCACACGCCGATGTACTTCGCCAGCAAAGCTGCAATCGTAAGCATGGTCAAGAGTCTTGGTGGCCTCAGAAAGGAGCTGGGTATCCGGAACGCTGCAGTTTGTCCTGAAGCGGTCTACGTGAGTGAAACTGAGCCAGCACTACATCGCGCTATTTTCTTCACCGATAACAAACTGATTGTCCACAGACTCCCATCTTTCATCCCGAGTATTGTCGTGATAGAGTGCGTCCCGACGACTTGATTCTCACTCCACAGCAATGCGCTGCTGTCCTGATGCGTGTTCTTTGCGAGCCTGAATTTGGCGACGGATATGTAGTGGAGACGATGTTGGTTGGAAGCAAGGACGACAACTCTGTCAGCGTCAGGGAGGTACCACTGCATCTGCTCTATCCCACCGCCGGGCCGGTGGGACAGGACAACCACCTGTTGGTCACGGGTCACATCTTCTCTGCTGCTGTCAATATTAGAATTAGAATGATAACTTCTTTAGTCAGGACTCCCATTCGTGAGCACCACTCATGATGAATCCCCAATCATGGCCCATGTTATTCCACGGGAACTTCTCGCCCAGTCCCGATTTTCACTTGCGGGTCGTGACGGGCCTGGATCTCTCGAAGAACCACACTCAAACCCAGCTCCACCGCACTAAGACACTTGAAGCTCCCTCGATTGCCACACTGATAATTTTGCCCTCTAACGCTCCACAACAAGCACAAATCTCTCATGCTTCGGGGATATGGACGCTTGCCGTAACACAAATCTGCATCCACAGCACCTCCAATGGAGTCTGGTGCATCTGGAAGGGTGGCCGAGTTGGTTATGGCGCCAGGTTAAGGTCAGCTTAACATCTGTTTCCTGGTGGGGCAACCCGCGCGAGTTCGAGTCTCGTCCCTTTCAATACCATTTTTTGCTCCGCTCGAATAAGGTACGTTACCTTTCGTTATGTGTATGCTCGCCTTTTTGTCTATAGGCTGCTGACGAGATAGTCTTTGCAACAAATCCTGTCAGCGGTTGACTTTCAGTAAGTATGTAAGGCCAGCCATGCCAGTGTTTGATATATAATGTTTTGATACATAATATTGGCGTTGTTGATCAAGCACGTGCGAGGTTTGTGTATCTACCGAGAGTTTGAAGCTGGCATTACATGTATACTCAACATTTGACACAAATTACTCAGATACCGGGACTATGTGGCATGTGGCTCATGTTGTATTCCGACATCTCTGCCGAGACTCCCTTTTCGGCCTACCATACTCAGTATTCATCGTGGATCAAGAGTCTCTGTTCACCTCCTGATAAATTTCAACCTGAACAGCTTCAGCCTTCGATGAGCCCCTGACGACGTGGGGACGTGCATCTGATCTGACTTCATCTCCCGCTGCAGCTTAAAATAGAGTTCGCAGCATGTATCAGCACGGCCTCGCTGGATTCAAAAGGCCGAACCATGGGAAAGTCAAAATACTGTTACACCGAGTAATGTAGCATGGGCCTCAGGATAAAAGAACAGAAACCCCATTTCATCCAGAGGTCTGATGTCCTACCCCTCGTGTTCTTCATCCAGTGACACGCAGGAAGAAAAGACACTGCGCACTCATCCGATTCTAACTTCTGGCAACCAGTCACATTGGGCAGATAACTAAGAGCAACTCGAAAGCCATAAGATTCTCATTCACATCGAGGCTTAACTGCCGAGCTTCCCCGCGTCATCTGGCTACGCCAAGACGCTCAAGACTAGGATCACCATTGCAGCGCTTCCAAATCTTCGAAACAACATGGGCATCCCCCTACAACCTCTCGTTGACTACGATCCATTAAACCAGCTTGGAACCTTGACGACACTAGTACTCGCTTCTCTCGGTGCCCTTGGACTTTTAGCTTGGCATTATCGCGAAGATAAGCCGTATGCGGGCTTCAAGTTGATCGGCAAAGAACGAGGAGAGTGGTCATACGAGAAGGCGAGGGAAAGATGGAACAACAACGCCTTTGAGCTCTTGCGAGCAGGATTCGACGAAGTATTCTTAAATTGACTGCAATCTTGGAGACTACGATACTGACTTGAATTCGTAGACACATGGCCGGCCATTTCAGGTTATATCCCCGTTTGGTCCCTTGGTGATGCTGCCCCCGAGTCTGTGCGACGAAGTTCGGAATGACAAACGCTTAACATTCACCGGGTTCATCGATCGAGTAAGTCTGTAGGATAGGGAACTTTGAAATGACCAAAGGTCAAGGCGTATGAGCAGAATTATTTTAACCTTGACGGTCACAGCAATGGCTCACGCGGTATCCCGGCTTGGATATCCTGCAAGATGGGCTCAAGGGAGAAATCATACAAGAAGCCATGCGGAAAAACCTCAACCAAGAACTGGGTAAGTGAGCTCCTCGAAAGAGGGAGAGTCAGGCAAAGGCATCAAAAGCGCCAATGCTAATTTGTATCTCAGTGTACTTGACGGAGCGACTCCGCGAAGAGACGTCTCTCATCCTCAGGGAACAACTCCCGTCAAGCAAAGAATGGCAAGAAGTCAGATTCTTTCCCGTGGCCACTCAACTAGCCGCACGCTTATCTGCAAAGATCCTCCTCGGGGACCGTCTCTGTCGCGATGAAGAGTGGATAGCAGTCTCCATCAACTTCACCGGTGTCATTCTCCGCGCAGGCCGAGCTCTGCGCGCCTGGCCAGTCCTTCTTCGTCCCCTAGTGCACCGCTTCGTACCGACGCTGAACTACCTGCGAAGTCAGATCAAGCAGGCACGAAGGATAATGGAGCCGGAGCTCGCGGCGCGAAGGCTGGCGAGGGATGAGAAGGAAAGACCTATGGATTCATTGTCGTGGATTGACGATGTTCGGCGCGGACGAGAGTTTGATGTCGTTGCTGGACAGCTATTCCTTACGTTTGCGGCGATTCACACGACGTCTTCTGTGGTAACTGCCATATTATACGACTTGTTGGCGTACCCAGAATATTTTGCTCTATTGAGAGAAGAAATTGTCAAGGTGTTTACCGAGGATGGGGGTTGGAGCAAGAACAGTCTCTTCAAGTTGAAGTTGATGGACAGTTGTATGAAGGAGAGCCAGCGATTGCACATACTGGGCCCACGTAAGCCCCTACTACCACGGGAGTCTTAAAGTGACGACTTGCTAACATGGTACCTAGACATCATGAACCGCAGAGTTGAAGAGCCCATGACCCTCTCCGACGGAACCTACCTCCCAAAGGGCACCCTAATTACCGTAGCCACACATAATACCCGTGACCCAGCCCTCTGGGGACCCGAGCCCGACAAATTCGACGGCCGCAGGTTCCTCCGTATGCGCGAAGAGCCAGGGCAGGAGAACCGGTGGCAATTCGTCTCGACGAGTCCAGAGTTCCTCGCCTTTGGCCATGGAACGCACGCGTGCCCGGGACGATTCTTTGCTAGCAACGAAATGAAGATTGTGCTGACGCATTTGATAATGAACTACGACTGGAGAATTGTGGAAGAGAAGCCCCCGACAAGCATGTTCGTCAGTCGCTTTGTGCCGGATCCGAGGACGGTTATTGGGTGCAGGGCGAGGACCCCGGAGATTAAGCTGTGAGAGGGAGAACACATGAGAAGCAAGACAACGGGGAGGGGAAACATTTGGGAATTGGGTCAAATAAAAGGTGGTAAAGGTATCGAGAAAGGTAAAAAGAGAATGCGTCAATCGCTGACGGGAATTGAGCCCGACGTGGCTGGGAGGAGTTAGTGACGAGGTTCAACGATCAATATCGTAAGGTGGTGAGCTGAAACTTACGGGTCGAACCCACAACCTTGAGATTAAGAGTCTCACGCTCTACCGATTGAGCTAGCCGGGCGGATAGAATCCAATGGCTTGGTGTGTTGTCGAGGGCAAGCCAGAATCAGTCCATGGACCACTTGGCGAATGGACCGGACGGGATGGTGTGAACAATTTTCAAGGCCCATCCTTAGACGCGTTGTGTCTTTTGACAGGGTTACCGCGTTTCCGGAGGGTAGGGCTTATTTTCTATGGACTCCGGTGCGGGTCCCGGAGACTGTTTGAGCAGGGCCGGACGGAGTCCCGAAATCAAGAGATCCGCCATGATAGGGACACCAGGTGTTTGCCCTTGCGCTAGTCGAGTAGCTAGTTTCCAGACCGATGTGCTCTCAGCCAGGGTTGGTGAACGGTCCAGTATGCAAAACGTGCCAGCCTAGCCTTCCTTCTATTTCGTCTCAGACTCACAGACTGCCCAACGGAAAACGTTACAAATTCTGGTAATAAGAAGGAAAATACGTCCGAGTAGCTCGCCGAGGCAGAGTTCTTTGGGTTGCCTCATGGGTTGAAGTAAGGTGCTTTAACCTGTTACCTCAGGTAAGGCAGGGTTGTTGAATTATCTGAACTCATGGGCTCTGGAGATTTGTCAAATCATGACAGATACGATGGCTCGTCGTATTCGATTGAATCGTTGAGGCACGTCGGCCGTGTTGCTTAGATTTCGGCGTGCCCACCCAAGACTCATAGAGCGAAACTGCAGCAGCACACCACAGGCAACAGAGCCACTTCTGGTCAACATAGGAAAATTCATTTTTGTAGAGTATATGCTGGTTATACACACTCGCAGACTGTTGTGGCCTGCCCGTTTTCACCCAATTCCTTGACCACCTTGCACCCCTTTTGCATATCAATACAGATTGAAAGTTGGAAAGCAATGACCGCCGCTATTACCAAATCGCCCATGAACTCGTGTCTCAAGACTCAGTGTCCACCTCCTCTGGCTCGCTTCGCACCAGCATTTCCGCCGGCCTCGGAATCTCCTCTAGGCCGCTTGTTTCCAGGCTGGAAATCGTTGGCACCAGGGTTCAACGAGCCGGCATTATGTCCTCCCCGGGCACCACCACGTCCACCACGTCCTGCTAGACCACCTCTCTCTGCACCTCCGCTTGACACCCTATTTCCGGCAGCGTACGCCCCACCCCGCCCACGACCAGCTGCGCCGCCTCGTCCTGGAAGAGGGATGCCACTCCTTTGGCCTGGAGCAGCCTGAGCCGGTGGCTGCGGTAGCCCATGACCTTGCGGTGCGGCCTGGCCCGCTGGTGCCCCTTGTGTGCTGGAAGCGAAGGGGTTCTGTTGCTGCTGTGGTGCTTGCTGCTGCTGCTGCTGCTGCTGTCCTTGTGTACTTTGTGAGAATGGGTTGGCCTGGGCCGGAGTGCCATTAGCAGCACCGGCCGCGAACGGGCTCGCTGCAGCATTGTTGGTTGCCGGCTTTGTTTCTCCAGGAGGAGGTATTTGTCTCTTCTGAGGGATGCTGCTGCCCGGCGCAGGGATCCCGCTAGTAGCAGCCCCGCCTGACGGCTGGGCTTGGTTGGTTGAGACTGGCGGTGCTTGAGGATGGTCAGAAAGAGTAGGGTGTTGTACGTTCAGTTGGAGAAACTCACCGATTGTCGGAGCAGCAGCTTGGGCTGGTGCGGCAGCTGACGGGGCCGAGATCGAAGGACGTGGTGCCGCGGGTTGCGTGTTGCCAACGGGCTTCGCAGGGCTTTGCTGCGGCGCGGCGGGAGCTGGTTTGGCAGCTTTAGCTTCCTCCCAAACTTCCCCAACGGGTCGCTGAGGTGTCTTTGTTGCGGCCGTGGACACGACTTCAATCTTGGCGTTGGCACCTCTGAGCTGATTGTCCTTCATGTTGATTTGCAGCGCAGACTTCTTCTGCGCCAGCAGCTGACCTTCCTCGCGAGCGTTTGCAATTCTCTGCTCAAACTCGGCCCTCATACTCGTCTCTGTCTCGTTCTTAACCTTGGCAGTCTGTTCCTCGAGTTTCTTTCTAAGATTTCCCGACATAATGTTCCGCACGGTAGCATTGGTGGAAAGGAACTTCCGAATCTCGGCATCGGGGAGTTGAGACAGATCCGCGGCACCGGCAGGTGTACCGGTCATTGGCGTTGCTGGAGCCGCGTCCGGGTCTTGCTGCTTGATGGGCGTAGCAGGCACAGCTGGTTGTTCTTCTGCAGGCTTAACAGGTGCGGCGCCTTGCTGCTCAGCCTTCCAAATAACCTTTTCTTGCTCTACCCTGGTGGCGAACTCGGCTTCCATCTTGTCGCGAGACTGGCGAAGCTTCTCGTTGAGTGCGTTGCGCATCTTATCCGACCGCTCCTTGATGGTCTGGGTGATGTTCTCCTCGAGCTCATTCGCCTTGCGCTCAGCCTCTGCAGCCTTGGCTTCGGCGGTAGCAATCTTTTCTTCCAAAGCCTTTCGCTCAGTGTCAGATAAGCCACTCGCGCCATTCGTGGTAACAGCCTCCGCCGTCGGTTGGGCGGTATGCTGAGGCTGTGCCTGGGCAGCCTGCTGTGCGGCCTCGACAGCCTGATCTCTCTCGGAGACGGCTGTCTGCAGTTGCGATCGCAGGCCCTCAAGCTCCTGCTCGGCGGTAGCCTTTTGGGCTGAGATGGCTTCCAACTGGTTTCGCATCTCGGCGAGTTGCCGCTCCAACTGGGCGACTACTTCCGAAGACATTGATGGCGACCCGTCTGCTGTTGGTTGAGCGGCAGGAATTGGCGCGCCGGATTGGTTGGCTTGAGCGTCCTGCTGTAACCTTTGTACCTGTTGCTGGAAGTTCTTGACTTGTTGCTCAAACTCTGTGCGCTGCTGTGTCGTCGCCTGCAAGTTCTGTCTAGTTGTCTCGAGTTCGATGTTTGTAGAATTGAGTTGCTGCTGCAGTTGTTCACGCTCAGCAATCGCAGCGTCCTTCTCCGTAACCGCCTCGTTTCGTGCACCGATGGCCTCGTTCTTCTCGCCAGTGATTTTACGTGACCGCTCTTTGAACTGATCGGTCATGCGTTGGCGAGCGTTCGCCCAATTGGTCCTTTCCGTCTCCAACGTCTGCTTGATCTCCTCAAACTCTGCTCGTAGAGGACCTTCAGACTCTTTCAGGGCATCGCGTTCGGTCTGCAGATTATTGATGGTCTGCTTGAGTTGTTCCATCTCGGCGGGATCAACGCGGCCGTACTTTGTAAGGATGCCCTCGGTTCGCTTCTGCCACCTGTCACGGTCCTCCTGAACTTGCTTGATTTCTTCTTCGAGGAAGCCCTTCTGAGTTTGGAGCTCCTCGATTCTAGCCTCCAGAGGCTGTACCTTGCCTTCCAATTCCTCAATCTTGGAATTCTTCTCGGAGATTTGAGCCCGGGCCTGAGCGAGCTCGTTGCGGAGAGTGGCGCTGCTCTCACGGTAGAGATTGAGTTCATTGAGTTTGTCCATCAGATCCTTGTGGGCGATGGAGGCTTGGCCGCTCTCAGCTTGTGAGCGTCTCTCCTGGTCGAGTTTCAACCGAGCCTCGTCCAGCTGGGATTGGGAGTACTCGAGCTGTTGCTGCAGGCGTTTGGATTCCTGCACCTTCAGGTCGTACTGCACCTCCAAGATCTCCTTCTCCCGTCTGAGATAATTGTTGAGTTCCCGAAGACCGTCAGCTGCACCGTCGCTGCTGGTTTCCGTGCTATCGTTGGCGTCTCCAGCCGCCGCATTGCGACCCTCCTTGAGTGCAGAGAATTGCTTCGTGATGCTCTCCAGCTGCTCGTGCAGAAGCTTGTTCTGCGCGTTGACATCATCACGGCGGACCTTGATTTCTGACATTTCCTGCTCGATTCGCTGTTTCCTCTCTTCCCAAGAACTTTCACTTTGAGACAGGGCAACCTTGGCCGACTCCGCTTCGGCTCTCAGGGTTGCCGTCTGGCTCTTGAGCTCGTTGTACTCGGTGCGCAACTGTTGGACGAGCTTCGCAGCCTCGGCGTGCTTGACGAGCTCGTGTTCGTAGTCCTGTTGAGCCTTGGCGGTGATCTCTGACTGAGCACGAAGGTCTTGTTGGTGGAATTTGGCGGCTTCTGAGTGGCGGTCCGCTTCTTCCTTCAAACGCTTCACCTCCTCGTCCAGAATCGTCTTCTCGTCCTCGCACCTGCGGCCAACTTCGGCTTGGGAGTCGCGGAGGTGGGAGAGCTCCTTATTGGAGCTGGCGAGTTCCGATGACAGATCTTCAACACGCTGCTCCAGCTCCTTGATCTTGGCGTCCTTGATCGTGAACGCAGCGTCCATCTCCTCCCTGAATTGCTCTGTGGTGGTTGTGAACTCGGTAAGAGCTTCCTCATTTTGTTCGCTGAGTTGCTTGTATTGCTCCGTCTGTTCCCTGGCATTCTCGAGCTGAGACTTGGCGATGTCGAGCTCCCTCTTGAGGTCCGAAACCTCATTGATTAATTCGCGAACCTCGGCCTCGCTGTCTTGGTCAGTCTGTGTAGGAGGTGCCATCGTGCCGGGTCTTGGCGTCGGACGGGGCGCCAGGCGGCCAGCTCTGTCTTCCGCATTACGAAGCTCGATGGTGAGCTCATCAACGCGAGCTTGCAGATGGTCGCGGCTGGTCTTAACAGCGACGTGCTCTTCGCGGATCTGGCTCAGACTGGTAGAGAGCTCATCGATGCGCTTCTGGGCTTCGCGAGCATCAAACTCCTTCCTGAGCTGAAGCTTCTTGCCTTCTTCCATTTCTTCAGACAGCTTGCGCTTCGTGCTGTTCAGCTCTTGCTCGAGATTATCGATCTTGGACTGAGCCTTCCGCCTGTACTCAGACTCGGAAATGTCACGCTCGTTCTGCATGGATTGCTGGCTTGCCAAAAGATTGTTGAGTCTGGTTTTCTCCTGGACAAGACTCTCGTTGTCTTGATTAAGACGATCTTGGATGTCCTTCCATAACTTCTTCTCTGCCTTGAGGTTGGCAGCTTCGTTTCGAACGCTCTCGAGTAAGCCCTTGGCGTCGATGAGTTCTTCAGCAACTTGCTGGGTTCGGATTTCGTGCTTGATGGAGTCCTCTGAGAGCGACTGGTTGCGCTTCTGAATCTCCTTGTTCTCGCTCTGCAGCGCAACGAAGTTGGAGTGGAGCATCTCGTATCTCTCGGAAGCGAGGGTAATCTGGCTGGTGATCTTTGCAACCTCGCCCTGGAGGGAATTCTTCTCGCTTGAAAGCCTGTCAATCTGCTCCCGCAAGGAGCGACGCACGGATTCTTCGTCGTTTCGGTAGGTGTCGAATTCGACTTGGAGGTTGCGCAGCGCAGCTTGTGGGGACACGCCGTCGCCTTCCTCAGTCTCGATACTGGTGAGCGGGAGGCGCTGACCGTCGTCAGAGCCGAGGATGGAAGCGAGCTCGCCGGCAGAGGCCTTTTGCTGAAGCAGACGTCTGAACATGTCCCGCTCGGACTTGAAGCTCTCCATTGTTGATCTCAGCGATTTGGTCTCTTCAATCATATTGGCGAGCTCTTGTTGCAGTCGCTCAACTGATTGATGATCCTCCACAGCCTGGCTCTTGGCGGCAACGGCCTCTTCGCTCTCCATCTGTTCTGCCAGCTCCCGGGTGACCCTCAGAAGCTCTTGATTCTTGGCTTGCAGCTCTTGGATATCCTTGAAAACGACGAACTTTTGGGTGATGAACTGGTGGGTATCCGACATGTCGTTGAGGGCGCCCTCGGCAATTTCGCCACGAGAAAGCTGCTCCAGGCGGACAGTCTCCTCGCGAGTCAACTGCTCCAAGCCCTTTTCGCGGGCATGCATGTTGAAGACCAACATCTGGATCTGTGTGCTGAGGTCACGAAGCTGTGTGCGGAGGATCTTGGATTCAGCCTGCGCATTAGCCAACGCACTCTCAGCCTTTCGCGCGCTCTTCTTGGCGGCGTCGCGCTCTTCGAAGCTTGACTGAGAGAGCTCAGACATCCTAGTAATTTCGGACCTCAGGGTATCAGCTTCATTCTGGAGCTCCTCGATCTCGGGCGTCTTGGCCTCCAACAGGGCAATCATGTTGTCGAGCTCCTCGGCGAGTTGTTGATTGCGGCGCTTCTCTCCTGCCAGCTGTCCCTTGACCTTGTAAAGTTCGTCAATAGCCTGTGTTGCGGTGATAGCAGACTTGTTTCGCGCAGAAGCGGGAGTAGCAAAAGGCGAGGCAGGCCTTCCGAGAAGGGATCCATTCATACGGGGTGTCTGAGGTGCAGATCCAGGGGGGGGTCCTTGTTCCATGCGGGCGTGAAGCTCGTCGAGCTCGCCCTCAAGCTGAGTCACCCTCTCCTCCAAGGCACGGCAAGTCTCCCTCTCGCGTTCGAGCTCGTGCTGTATGCGACGGACTTCGTTGGCATGCTTCTCTTTCAAGGCTTCCTTCTCGCCCTCCAGAGTCTGCACACGGGCCTTGTGACTGTCGGCAAGCTGGTTGGTCATATCGACGACACGTTGCTTGCTCTCGATCTCGTGCTTGTAGCTCTCCTCACTGCGGGCGAACGCTTCCTGTTGTTGCTGGACCTTTGTGAGGGCCTCTTCCGCCTTGGCTTGAGCTGCGTCAAGGCGATCTCGGAGCTGTTGTTCGCCTCGCTTCAGGGATTCGATACTAGATTTCGCGTCTTCGTTTTGTCGTTGTAATTCGGCGACCCGAGCGCCCTTCTCGCGGCGATACTTGAGAGCCTCTTCGCTCTTGGTCTTGAGTTCGGTCTCGAACCATTCGCCGTTGCGTCGAGCAAGATCGAGTTGCTGTTGTAGCGACTCCTCTCGGTACTTTGCGCTACTCACGGCCGCCTGTGCAGCCTGGACCGATTGCTGCAGGGCCGTGATCTCCTTTTGTAGCTGGACGTTCTTCTGGTGCTGCTTCGCCAACTCCTCGGACAGTTCCGAATCGCGGGCGTTTCGAGACTCAAGCAAAGCCATATTCGCACGGTTGGAAGATTGTAGGGACTCAACTCGGTCGCGGAGAGTAGTGATCTCGGAGTCGTGATCGGATCCGCGGGACTTGAGCGACTGGAGCTCGTTCTCGACCGTTTGTCGCTTCGTTTCTGTCATGGCCAAGTTAGTCACCCAGAAATTGACACTCCGGTCTTCCGATCTCGTCATTGAACAAACCTTCCTCTTTGAGCTTCTGGCGAATCTCCTCGACATCCTTCAGGGCCTTATCGGCTGTCGCCTTGAAAGTCTGGCATCTTGATTCAGCGCTGTGGTGTGCGCTTTCAAGCTCGATATCGACCTGAAGCTTCTGAGCATATAACTCGTCATGCTCGCGTGCCTTCGCAATGACGGCTTCAAGGAGGCTCGCGACGAGCTCGGGGGTCGGATCGGTTGTGGCTGTCGAGACCGTCGACTCGGACAGCCCTAGGTGGCCGGCCACATATCCTACATCCACCGCCGCTGCCATGTTGTTGTAAGCTCAGGGTCTAGTCATAGACATTGAAAGCAGATCGCGAGGTCGTTTGCGGTCGGAATGTAGGTAGGTCTGTTTGGCGATGGATTCGCTGCGTCGCGCGTCAAACACCCCACCGGTCGGGAAGGCTGAGTTAGATGTTGTTGTGATGAGAACAAAAGCAGGGAGAGTGTCCCAACACAAGTAGATGAGGAATCCCTCGAGAGCCGCCAATTTTGGTTAAGGCGGTCAAGAGTTGATTCCAAGCGACAAGGATTTGGGTGGGATTTGGCGGCTAACAGGCAGATCGCAAGATTTTGGGAAGAGCGCGACCAGGCGAATGTTTTCCGGCCAACGCACAGTGCAGGTGCAAGGCTGGGTGGGAGCTGCCTGCAACCACGGTACCCATTGGGCCAATCAGAGAGCCTTGCACAGGGAAGCTGGAAAGACTTCCGAGGATCATCCGGCTGAGTCATCAACAGCTCTGCTCAATACTAGTGGGGCCGTGGCTCGGTGAGAGGACGATGTCAGAGCTTCTTGACCGAGCATACCGACCTTTACCGATGATCTTGCTCGGTAAGACTTCACCGAAACCCCAAGCCGCTGATGGGCTACCTAGTATCAGACTGACGAGATGGTTTCTAACTTTGACCTTCAAACAGGCTGTTCAGTTTTGACCTCTCTCTTATCGATCATTTTGATTCTTAGCTTTTTCCGTCCCTTGACACTTTTTTTCCTGTGAATGGGCATGTAGCTGGTTTCTCGGACTGATGATCAATGCTGAGGACCTTTGGTTTATGAATATGGGTGCTTGTCCTCTTTTATCGTTGGACTCGGTTAAGTAATTCATTACTTTAGGTATCTTCTTCATAAAATTCTCCTCATCGTCTTCATTACGCCTCAACTCCCTTATTGTAGCTTTACCACCAATCCAGCCATGAGCCGTACCATCATTATCGTCGCTGCTGGCCCTCATCCATCTCAGAGTATCCTGGCGTCGGACCAGCATGCCACCCCATCCCTTGAAGCTCTGCCCTGTCTTGTCCCTGCCCCTGATATACCGCCGATGGTCCATTCGGCATCTGATGAATCGGTTGCCCATGAGCCTCTGCTAAGGTATTTTGTACATGTGGCTGGATGTATCTAGTCTGAAGCCCGGGTGGGAGAAACAGGCTCTGGCCATATGGTTGCTGTTGCGTGTATGCCGGTTGGCCATGCTGTCCCTGTAACTCGGAAGGCAGATACTGTCCGGCAGGCTGCAGCTGGCCGTTGGTGTTGGCTGGCATCTCGGACGGCAATCTAGTCTGGCCGTGAAGTTCAACGCCTGTGGGGGATTGGGCCCATACACCGCCAGCATTGGACGCGGGCGATATCGTGTCTGGATGTGGAGATCCTGTCGTGTAAGAGACGCTCATCTGAGGGCTTTTGGGTGGCAGCTCGGACAGCATCGTGCCGCCTAACTCGGGTTTGCCCGCCATTTCAGGAGGGGCGGCGGTGCCTGGAAGCGGAAACCCGGCCTCGTTCTTCTTCCGACGACGATAAATAATGAACGCGACGAGAGCAGCAATGGACAAGGCACCAACGACAGCGACCGCACCTCCAATGATGGCTGCAAGGCTTGGGGTACTGGACTTCGATTTGCCATTAGTATTTGTGCTGTCGCCAGAAGTACCCGAAGAGCCAGTAGCAGTAGCTTCGGCTCCCGAAGTCCCTGACCCTGTGCCAGCTTGTGCTGTTGGGTAGGTCTGGGCAACTATCGTTTGATTAGTCGAAGTTGATGCGATAATCGCGCATGATCTACTCACTTGATTCAGCGACAGTGGCCACCACCTCGTTCCTGGCAGCCTTGCAATAGTAATCCAACACGGCAACCGCAGAAGATACATCCTCTGTAGCCGTGGATGAGCAGTACCACTTGATATCTGATGTCACCGTGCTCATGACGATGTTAGTTACTCCATCTTTCAAGCACATACAAGACGCCAAGGCCTGAGGTCCCGTCGGGCACTGGTATCTCGTGAGCGAGTAAATGGCATCCGAAAACCCCGACTGCGCGCATGCAGCCAGCGAGCTGTATTGGGAGAGCGCCGTCATGTAGTAGGTCATATCTCCTGGAGGTGGCGAAGGCTGCGGGAACGATGTAGTGCCCTTATTCATTGCGCAGTACGCATCGTAGAAAGCGAGGCCCGAAGTCACGTCGGCGGCGTTGGAGCATGAGTACCGTACAAGTGATGCGATGGACCGGCTGACGCGTGCTGAATTGTCGTTCTTCGAGCAGATGCAGGGCGCCATCAGACTTGCGGCTTCAGGGCAATATGTCGACATTGAGCTAATAGCGTACGACACGCCAGACTGGGCACACGGGGCCATGTTGGCGAACTCGGCGATGTCGGTGGCATACTTGGTAACGATGTTGGTCGTAGGCGTCGGAAAGTTGACCGTCGTGTCGGGGTTACAGTACTGGCTGATGACTGCCGCGGCGCTGGTCTGGTCATCGGATGCGGTTGAGCCACAGCTGTAGCTGATTGACCTGGCGATGGATGTGGAGATGGCGGCGAGGTTGTTGTTCTTCGTGCATATGCATGACTGCAAATCTGTCGGTGCTTCACCGCACGCTGAGTAGGTCTGGGAGAAGATGTTATACGACACGGCAGTCTGTACACACGGTGCCTAATATGGGTCAGTATCGTCCTAATCACCCGTCCGGCAAAGGTCTTGGACATACCAACAAGGTGTAAATGGAAAGATCAGTGACATAAACGATACTCGCGGCTCTCCCAAGGCCGATGAGGAAGAGAGACAGCCACAGCTGGGCTGATATCCGCGACATCTGAATCTCTCCCGGGCAAACCACAACAGCAGTCAAAGGGTATCAAGGAATGGAACGTCGACAATGGTCAACAGAGTCAGAAAAGACAGGACGAGCCTTTCACAAAGCATGATGTGAGAAGGAAGAGGAGCCCAAATGGGCATGTCTCTGCCTGGAGTGACTGGCAAGGCATGGGAGGCTAAGCGCGGGGGAGAGACAGTTTCTAACTCGCTGCAAGGGGTAATGAAGTCCACCGTTGAGCCCGTGTATCCGTGGAAAGCGTGAAAGCTTAGTTTCTCCATCTTGGCTGAGGCAGACTTGGTGGTTTGATGGTCAATCATCACCACGACGGTCACTAACCCCTGTCACGATGGCGCTAAAGTTGCGCAACCCCCTTGACAGCTGAAGGGCTGAGCCAGGGATAGCTTCAACGTGATCGCTTCTGCGGTTCCGCAGTGGAGATTTCATGTTCCGCTTCAATTGTCCGGAGAAACACGAATAAGCCGACTCATCGCAGAGTCTGGCGGAGTCTTCGTTACCCTGGAAGTATCAAGTCTCATAACTTTTTGCGACAATGCCAAACTTGAACAGCATAAACAGGTGCTGGTACCGGGTAAAGAGCTTTCACACGTTTCAAAGAGGCTCTTATCATCCTACGCTCGCGGAAATAGGGGCAACGTTGGAGGTGTCCACAAGACAGCTTAGCTGCAGCCGCGATGGCGTTGCTTAATCAAACACTGGTTCAGCCTAGGCCAAGCAAGTTAGGCAAGCCAAGTTGATGATTTGGTAGTGTGTAGCCATGGACCTCGCACTCGCAACAAGTCAGAACTCATTTGCCTCGCCAGCGGAGAAAACGTCGGTTCAGAAAGTCGACAAGTGATCCATAAAGAAGACAACACTGGTTGTCCGATCTGCTGGTGCTTTCCAGACCCATCATGAAGGCGTCGGGATGGTACCTAATATGATGATAACCTCTGTGCCTCCGACCTTCGCTGGTGGCAGAAATGACTCAGGAGCCGGCAGACGCCACAAATCAGGGGTGACAGAAACCGGTAGACGCGATTGGCGTACCCAGATGAGACATTCCGTTAAGAGCTAGCCTTGAATATTGTGGCAGGCCAACATAATTTGCTGGCGTGAAGTTGAAAGAAGCACAGTGGCCTTGAATGACTGTGTGTCTGGGTTCATTATTAGGTGCTGACTGAGAGGAGAGATCATCAAAGATGGAGCAGGGCACCAGGGGAAGAGCAGGACCATTCCAGCTTACATAAAGCAAGTCAACAACTGACGGCAGTTGGTCATCACCCGGCCGAACTCGGCGCGGTTTGTCCGTGACATAACCAAATCCTGTCGCCAATTAACCATTACCGTATTCAGAACAGAACTTGAGGATCAACAGAGTCAGTGGTGCAGGACTGCAATCAGAGGGATCAACCTTCTGCAAACTATCCAGGTTGCTAAATACAGGTGTATCTCATTCCCACCACGATGGTATCATTCTGGATATCCTCCTCCACCAACATTGCTTCCTGAGCCACGATCTGTACAAACGGTGCTCATTGATGGCATCGATCCATGCCAACTAACTTCTGCCACAGTTCTCCGGAACGAGAGGTTCCTATTGAATTTAGACGGGCCCGGCCGAACCCCCCCAAGATAGCAGAGTCTTCCTACGCGGCTCGCCACTCAATCGAGCACCCGGCCGCCCGCGCCACCACCGTACATGTAGCCAGGCGCGAGACCCTCACCGAACTTTGTCAGAGTCTGGTTCACCTTGAGGGACAGCCGCCTCGAGATGCTGCTTCGCTTTTTCACTTGCCTTTCCATGCAGTTGGTCGCCTCCTGTAACTCAACGTCGCCATTCTCTTGTGGGGCGCTCATATCCACATCGTAGTTCTCGTCCTCATCGGTCTGGCTTTGCTCTTCGTCAGGCTTGTAGTCGGGCATCGCACGGCTTCCGCATGTCGTGCACATGATCTGATTGGGTCGAAGGGTCGACATTTCGCTCTTTCGCCTTGTACGATCCGCGGTGGGCGGAACCGAGCGGTTCAAGGACGACGTCGGTTCAGTGAAGACGTCGCCCTCCGTAGCCCGCCTCCTCATCGATCTTGCTCTGCGTTCGGCCACCTCTTTCTCGATCGACCACTTGATGACAGAAGGTCTTGGTGTCTCCTCCTTCTCGGTCACTGCAGTCAGGCTCGTGTTGGCGAACTGTGTGGTCATCTCGTGCCTGCCAATCTCATTTGCCATCTCAAGCCAGAGAGCATGGCCGATGGCATCGTGAAGTACCGGAGCCGTGATGAGCTTTCGGCATTCTCTTGTGCCTTCTGCCATACGTAGTCTACCAAGCTCTCTGATCTCGTCCAAGGTCAAGTTGCAGACAATTTTGATGTATCCCGCCTGCAATTGCGTTTCCCATCGCTCCATGATAAAGCCTTCCAGAAAGGTGCATGCCTCTGCGACGTCCCTTTCGCGTTGTGTCATTTCCTGTTCAATATATCCCTCCTCAACCATCTCTGGGGACCGCGCGGCTCGGGGTTCGTCGGCATCGTAAGGGATTTCGAAGTAATTCTCGACGCTGGACTCGTTGGCAGGGCCGCCCTGATTCTGTCGCCGAGTTGGGCTGGTCACCTCATCTTTCTGTATAGGCGTCATGATCAGAGGCGTTCGCGGACTGTAGGGCTGGTATAGCTGCTTATCCAACGCCATCGTAAAAGGGGCGGCTTTGCTGATATTGCTGGCAGAGAAGCAGCTCATTCTCCTCTCGAGCCCAGCCGATTTCCTTTGTAATGCCATTTTGCTTGGGGAAGAATCTCGCGACCTCCCAAAGACTGTTGATTGAATACCGTACATGTTCAAGTTTGTTGTGCTTGCTCCCCCTCCTTGCAACTTAGCTTTCCCGAAACTACATGAGCCAGATATCAAATACATGGCTTCTCGCAGAAGTGTATGGCTTCGCGGCCATAGAGGTCTCGAGACGGCTCACATCGGACTTGATTTCATTGGGGCCACCACGCCACTGGACCATGTCATATCAGATCTCCGTATCCTCATGGCTGAGACTGACGACGGAAGCAGGAAACTTTGCAAGCCATCAACTAGGTCTAGACTTGTGAGGCGCAAGGCTTATTCTTACCCCAAGCGAGGAGCTTGACCGGCCCGCCCTCCATCTCCTTGACGCTAAATGAACGACATCGGTCGAAACGTGAGAATGAGAAGCTACTGTGGCATGTGTTCTGAGATGATCTGCGGTTCCTTGTTCGAAGCCTCAGTCACGTTCCTCGGATGTTCCAGACTCTAAAGACACTTCAATTTTGAAGATGGCGGCAGAAGACGGCTGGATCTACTAGCCTTCGCCACACAAGGTAGCCCAATAGACAGCCACAGCTGCTATAGAGATCAATGAGTCAACAGGGTCCTTGGGAGATTGCAAGTATAATGCAGCCTCAGCAGCTATTCGCCCCTAATAACTTCTCGCCGATTGCTCTCATTCGATCCGATTGACTCTATGTGTTGTTGACAGAGGGGTGGAGACCCTCGATGAAGAGTGCCGTTCTCACGGTGAGTAGATCTAGACAATCTCAAAACGATGTTCATGAGTTCTTGTACATCCTACGGCCAGCTCATCCATCTCTTGGAGATGCCTAGTCATCAATAGCGATTCCTTGTGAACATATACCTATTGACATTACCCCGCCACCCCGCAACGGTGTGGCTGGTATTGTGGCATTTTTTGGTTCACGATCGGGGTAATTGATGAGCCGGCGAGATCAACGCCGGGATTATATCGAGAAGCGGGTTGAAGTCTTGGCACAAGCATTCAGTAATCCACAGCCTGCAGAGCAACGGCTGGGTTTGCATTGATCAAAGGGCAGATATTAATATCGATGAACTCTAAATACTCTGAGTTGCCGCCAAACGCAACCGGTTTGGACTCGCTTGTAGAAACTCTCCGAATTGTCCCGAGCATTTTCTTGATTACTCCTCTATGTACAAGCGGGCCCTTGAGTACGAGTGGGAGATCCTTAAATAAGGTGTTGCTTCAAGCTTGAAACGATGCCATTGAGGGAAGGTCTAGATGACCTGTGGAAAGCAAGCTCAACGAGATGAAATGTTTCTATTACAAAGGCTATGATAGAATGATTGGCGAGGTATTATTGATCTAGGCACTTGAGGCAAGACATGATTTCGAGGTGAGTTTGATGGACGCTGAAGCGTCAGCATTACACGAAGACGTTCTCCAACAGATAGTCGATCTCTGTCGCCCTGTAGTTGTCCTCTTCAACATAGGCCAGACCCGTACGGTTTACATCAAAGACGATGTTGTTAGGCTCATCAACCGTGTACAATGGCCACGTAGGACCTATCTTAGGGCCGCTGCAGACATTGGGATCGGTGTCGTGGATGAATGCAACCCACATCTTGCTCATGAGGTCCGCCAGCTCGACAAAGGTCTCTGGCTTTCCTCCAAAGGGGTTGGTGGCATACCCAACTCCGTTTACGTTGTTGAACACGAACGCGACCTCTTGGAAATGGGTCGCTCCGTAGACGGCCGCAATGCCGTTGACATAGACGTTCCACAGGTAAGAGTAGACGGACAGTCCGGCAGCAGCGTAGGTGCTAGCCAGGAGTCTACGACCGCTGTGCTGTTGGTAGTCGCCGGCAAAGGCAGCTGCCCGCTTCCACTGAAGGCCGAATGGGTTCGCCGCAGGCCGGCCAACTTGAGAAACGGGAATGCCAACATCAGGGTCGTCGGGGTAAAGCTCCGAGACGGCAGCCACCTGTTCGCTGTTCAGCTGAAGGGCAGTAAGCCAGGTCTGGAACTGCTCAGTGGTGTTGATTCCCTGCTTTGCATACGCAGTACCCTCATCGAAGTTGTTGCCGAGCAAGAGAGGAACGTGTGCAAACTTGCCTGCACCCAAGAGCTCGGATCCCTGAGCAGTGATGAAGTCGCCGTCAACCACAGCGCTGATGGTGGGCGCCGTGACGCTCAACGGGTTGGTGCCGTTGTAGATGGCGTTGATAGTCTGCCAGGGAAGTCCTCGCAAGCAGCTCAGCTTGTCAGCGACATCGGTACAACCCGTCTTGTCGACGAGAGCATTGAACCACGGCTGCCAGTCATCAGCGTCGGCGAACCTCGCGATGGGACTGCCACTCTCAAGGATGGCGCTGCGGAACAGGTTGTTGTATTGACCATCGTAGGCGACGAGCTGCATGCCCAAGGAACGAGCGCCGGCAGACTCTCCCCAGATAGTGACCTTGTCAGGGCTGCCGCCAAAGGCACCAATGTTCTGCTGGAGCCATTCCAACGAGAGGCGCTGGTCGCGGAGACCAATGTTGCCAGCACCGGCGTCTTGCAGCTCGTTGCTGAAGAGGAAGCCCCAATACGAAACACGGTAGTTAATGGATGCAGCCACAATAGGCTTTCCCTCCTTGACGGATTGATCGACAATGTAGCTGAGGTTGTACCTCGGGTCGCGCGAGCCTCCGTTTACATAACTCTGTTTCGATAAAGTCAGCAAAAGTACCAGGTAAAGGTTGTCTTACACTTGGCAGGAACTTACGCCGCCGTGAACCCAAACTCCAACAGGCAGATCATCTCCTGGCTGGACACCGGCCGGACGCACGACGTTGATGGTCAAGCAATCCTCCGAAACGGGGTTTCCCAAGTTGGCAGTATCGGAGCCATACCCTATGCACATCCAGCCATATTCGGAAGCTGATCGAGTCCCCTCGAACGTCTCGTTGAGCGGTTGAGGAGCAGCGAACCGGAGAGGGCCAACGGGGGGTTGTGCATATGGGATACCAAGGAAGAGGTCCTGCGCATACTGCTGGTTCCGCACTCCGACGTAGGTTCCGTCTGAGAGGTGCACCGCAGGAGGTCCAGGCGGCGTGGGCTTGGGACGAGGACCCCAATAGGCGGGCGAGGAGGACTCGGACACGCTCAAGCACGACGAAAACGCCAGAAGAACTCTAAACGCGTGGGAACGCATGGCAGGCAAGGCTCAACGGGCGAAGAAGTGCAGCTTCTAGAATGCGGTGTAGAAGGAAAGGGAGGCTAACACCTGCGTGTCTCATGTCAGTCGCACAGAGGTTCAGGTAGGGAGATTTTGATCAAGCCCGTTGACGCTACTCGGGAACCAATCATGACATATCGTCTAGAAATTGCCTCAACGTCCGCTGGCGTGAAAAGAAATTCCCGTAAAGACGGCCTCTTAGTCCCTGCACTGCCCGGAATATTGGGTTACGACGACTCTAGACTAAGAGCCGTTTTGGAAAATAATCACCGGCTCTTCCAAGGCTCTGCCGATCACCCCTAGCAGACTTAGTCTACACCTTAGATTACGATGACACATACAAGAAGTCCGTACCGTCTCATTGCCCCTGCGGATGGCACTTGGCAACCCTCCAACACGATTTGCGTGCTTCGGCTCAAGGGGCTCGATCAGATGCCACTACGTAGGTTCATCCTTGTGTCGCATGGCGAGAGCATGGCGAGGCTTGCCCATCGATCTCTCGGCCGAGGAATTCATCCATCACGGGTTCGACGGGTTGTGGCCTGATGCCCAGCATCCCCCGCAGATTGGAGCCGTAGTTGGTAACCGTCCGTGTTGCCGCTGCCCCCAAAGACCTGGCAGAACATCGGAGAAGCATACCTCTTTGTGGTTAGCAGAATCGATGGTGAGACCACGCTACTGCGCAGTAACGGCGCAGCCAATATTCGTGTTGGTGAGTAGACTCTCTTAGTGTCTTCTAGAGCCCAGGAAACTCCATATGGGTACTGTTTAAACGAGATATGTAATATCGACCATCGGCTATGATCCTGGGGAAAATCGCTGGCGCACGAATGGGATCTCTCCGCTCAAGCCCCAGGATTAGAGTTCGGCACTAGAGACCGGTACCCCAGCCATCTTGAGTTGAGGAGTGGGAACATTCCCACATTCCTCAGCTGCCCCGGCATTGCTGGGCCGGCCTGGCAGGGCTAAAGGAACTTTGGTAGCAGAATCCGTTAACGAGACCACACACACCTTTACATTTTCATTGATTACAGTTGCGTGATGCCAGTGGACCCTTTATGCGTTTGTAGAGGAGAACGTGGTCTACCTATATGCGGAGACGCTGTTGGAGCATGGCACTCGATCTCCGATTCAGATGGACCCCCGAGCCAAAAGCCCATGGCCATGGGAACGTCCCAGTCCTACCTTACTGTTTAAGTAACCAACTTCGTGTTCCCATCAGATCATTCCAAGACAAGTGTGGTTGCAACCAACAACAGCCACAGCGTCAGTGGTGAGCCGCTGACTCTTGTCAGGCTGCTAGTTCCCTTGCATCCGTACCTCCCGGCGGATTTACAGACGCAAAACAAACTTGGCCCAGCGATCCAACAGTTCCGTTTGAAGTGATGTGCCCGTAGTAGTAGAAATCATACGTTGGTCCCAGCACCGCCGTGTTGGCGGCCGGCCTCGACTTTTCCACGAACCCAAATCTCCCGCTTCCGCCCGCCGTGATATATGTCGTGCACCGGTCGAAGCCTGATCTGTCTTTCGCCTGCCCGTGACGAGGTATTCCTAGGGGCATGTGGCGGGACTTCGTCCGAACTCCGTTTCTCTCCCTGCCTCTCCCTTTGAGGGGGACAATCCTGTCGCCGACACAGGCAATACTCTCGCTGGTTTCGAGGGGGGGCACATAGCGTGAAAAGTCGGCTGCACTCCCCGAAACTAAGGACTGTTCATGGAGGGTAGGAGGCTTTCTGGTACCTGGGGGGCCCCTTGTTAAGGACGCTGATCTTAGATTTCTTCATGTGCGATGCCAATGTATAATATGAGGGAGTGATGCACCTCCCGCGTGCGCGCTGACCTCGACCATTTTTTGAGCAGAATTCCCGGGGATCCACTGATTGACTCCCGTCCTTGTTTCTTACGACGTCTTCTATCATATCTCGTGGCACTGTGTGCGTGCCGTGAGGTTGACGATGGTTGACGATAGAGGTACCAGACTCCTCGCCGTAACCTGGTCTCTCTGTGTCGC